TGCATATCTACGTACAGGAAAGGATACATAAAAGCAACAAAGTTGAATTAATTACAGTTATTTGTTAAGTTGTGTCTTAAAGAAGAAATAAAGGTCAAAATGTAGGGGTTAACTTTTTATTTAATGTATAACCATTAAATAAAGTATAATAAATAAAAGGAGTAAGGGGTTAAAAAGTCTTAAAATTGATCATATGTTATAAAACCTGAATTTTCACTTTAATTAAAAACTTGCCCCCTGTGGACAAAAGCGATAGTTTAGAATAATTATACAGAAATAGGGTTTAAAGTTGAAATGAATGCTTCAATGCTGTAATCAGTGATTTCGAAAAGCTGTCAGTCATAATCTGGCAGCTTTATGACATTTGAGGGGTGAGGAGTGTGTAAAATGGGCGTCTCCTGTAGTATCGCTATAATTATTGAAATTATGTGTCCCAGCACACTGCCATTAACTCATCTCCTCCACGTGACCACAACTGCAGCACTAGATTTACACCAAATAAATCATCAGTGTAAGAGCCAATAAATCACTGCACAGCACCGGGGAACCACAGGACTTGACTGTTTGTGTGACTGATAGAGGAAGTTGACACAACAGCCAGGGTGTGAATAGCAGTGATAATAACAACAACACTACGAGCTAACTCTAATTAAAGCTGCAAGCGGCGATGAACTGCGATCACGTCCAGTGCAATAGGCTGAAACACCTAACACAAAACAGCACGAGCGCTCTTACCAGCTATAATATGTAACATTAAATGCTTTACGCTTAATCCATGATGATTAAGATGCAGAAAAAAAGAAATACGTGACAAAAATAGAACATTGCAATTCCTGCAGGAAGCTGCGATGGCAACAATTAATGCAAATTCAGTCGTAGTTTCCTGTCATACGTCTTGTTTCCAGCGGTGAAGTTGTGTCCGATGCCAATGTTGCATATTTTCCCTCCCAAAAACACAACTATTTTTGCCATTTTCACTTTCTCCCACAATTGAATCGCAAAAAACAAAAATTCCTAAAAACAATCGCAATCGCAGTTTTCTAGAAAGGCTGCCGTCAAGTCCTACATTTCAGGCCGCAACAATCCCAAAATAAGCAAAACCCTGAGACCTAGTTTGCACCCTATAACCTGTATAATGTGCACTTACATTAACCCAGGTGTGTATGTGTACATTTTGTTGTTTATTTTAGTTTATTCATTTTTATTTAAAGTCTGTTAAGTAAAAATATAAAAGCAAAAGCAGAATTTCCCTTCACACTGATGAGAAACAAATAGTTTTGGTGACTCACACAACCATCACGCCAAACTTCATAAATCCTTCAATGTGCTCGTGTTTCCTCCTTTCCTCCTTCCCGGCTTCTTCTAGACTTCCAGAGAAACCCGGCAGCTCCGGAGCCAGAACGTGGTTTCATCTGGCTCTGCTTACGGGCCTAATAGTGCTATTTCCTGCTATCTGCGGGCAGCGGACACTGTCTGGCCACATCACAGCTCATATGTACGGGAAACTATTTTAAATATCTTGTGAATTCATCTGAAGATGCTGCTCCTGCTGGTTTTTAGCTCCTCTCTGCTCTGTTTAGATCCCTTTCTTTTACTCCATCCTTCCTGAACTCAGATCGTTCAGAGTTACATTCAGAAAAAGACAAATGACCATTTTAAATATCTGTGACACACATCTGGACTCAACTAAGATCAGCAGCAGACAAACATCATTTAAAATAGATCCCAAATACTGGATTTTAGAGGCAGTTTTTTTGGACATCTGGATCTTAAGTTATCACAGAAAACAGTTGAGCTAACGCTAGCAGCAGCTCGGCTCGCACAAGGTCATTTATCAGTCCCTCCAGGAAGAACAATTAACGGCTAATTTAACCACTGTGAATTCAGTGTGACCCTACAATTTGGGCCAATCTCCACAACCTTTCCATAAATTTGATCATCTGATCGTAGTTTCCTCGCTCAAAATGTCACCAAACTATTAGAGATTTTATTCTCACTGGAATTACACAAAACAAATAACTATTTTTATGCTTTCTTCCACAATTTCATTGCAAAATCAGAGCCTGAAAACATCGCAACGTGTTTAAAAAAAGCTGATGTATATCAGACATTTTTGGCCACAACAATCCCAAAAGTTTCCTGGTGGACAGATTGATCAGTAGCGAACTGCTAACCACCTCGGTACTGGATTCCCTGCCACCCTCGAAGATTGTGTTCGGTTCCTGTGTTCACTGGAAGGTGGACGCTGACGCTAGCTCAT